TAAGCCAGAACAGCCCTGCGCACCCAGCTCCTGGCTTCCACTCCGTCTGTCTGGCCTGTCCCCTCGCCCCTGTGAGGAAGCGGGGCTCTCCTGCTACTCTCTGGCCTCTGGGGCTCCTGCACAGCGGGGTCCGGGGAGGGCCTGGGCGGGGTTTGGCTCTAGAGCCCACGAGGCGGGAGCGGGGACTGGGTTCCCGGTGACCCCGTGTGGAAACGCGAACACTGCTCAAAGGAAAGACAGAGGTCAGTGTCCAGCGTGCCTGAGCCCGGACACTGGTAGTGTTTACTCCAACAACGGAGGGCGGCCTGCGCCCCGGAAGCCCGGCCCGGCCCTCAGCGGGCCCAGCTGTGGTCCGGGCCCTGTGATCGCATCTGGCCGAGTCACCAGGAGCGTTCGAGACGTGTGAGGAGCCCTGGGCGTAGTTCACCCTGCAGTCACCGCACCTTGTCTCTGGCTGGCGCCGCGTCTCGGGACAGCAGGCCCTAGGCCCACCTCGCGCAGGCGGGGCTCACAGCGACAAAGCCCGGCGGCCGCACCAGGCGAGTCCCTCGGAGCTTCACGCTTCGCTGGCCGGGCAGAGGTCACTTCACGTACTAGCCTAAGTCCCGCCACCTCCGGAGCGGTCACTGGAGGCCCGGCGAAGCAGCTGCGGTTCACACCAGGGGCCGCACCCTCAGCTGTCCTCACAGGCGCCCAGACGGCCGGCGCGCAGGCGGCGGGCAAGCAGCTAGAGCTCCGCCAGAGGCGGGTGTCTCCAAGGCCCAGAAGGCTCAGTCCGAGAGCCCCGGCCCGGTCCAGGCCCTCAGGTGTCCTCGGTCTCTTGCCCAGGCCACGCCCTCCCCGCGCCCGGGACACTGCAGGCACCCCAGGCTGGCGCCGCCCCAGCCCGAGCTCGCTGCCTCTCTGGAAGGCCTCCCCGGGGGGCGCGCCCACGGGCTCGCTCACTTGGGGCCCTTGCCCGGGGAGCCCCCTCCACCTCCTCCTCCCCGCCCTTTCTCTTCTGGGCCTGGCTCCCAGGGGGCGCGCTCCCAGGGCCCCTCGCTTTCGCCCCCGTGACTGGCGCGTACCCGGACCTTTGCCTAAGCAAGGAGAGCAGTGACTCTGCCAAAGACAAGCACGTGGGTCTTGGCGACGGACCGTTGTTAGCCTTTTCAGTCATTCAAGAAATACTGACATTTCCTGAACTTCACAGAGGGAGAAAGACTCGTTTCTGGCATGAGTAACCACAAGCGTTCCGCGCTCAGAGCCACTTCTAGCTCCTCGGTGATTCCTCGAGGCGGCTCTTCTGCTCGCAGCCCTCGGGGTAACGGCCACGGCGCCCCGCACGGCAGCCCGGAGCCCGGTCTGACGCCGCCGCCGGGGAAGCCGGAGGCCGAGACGGGGGCTGAGGCGCTGCGGGGCTTTCCGGAAGCCCTGAGCAGCCGTGACAGAAACCTCAGCGCAGTGGCATGCAGGAGGAGGGCGGGCGCCTGGGGACGCCGCGGGCCGGCC